AAAAAAAAAAAAAAAAAAATAAAAAAAAAAAAAAGAAAAAAGAAAAGAGAGAGGAAGAAGATCCATGTTCCTCCAACCTTGGAATTCCCCCACAGGCCAGTATAAACCAGGTATTGCCCACCGAGATCTGAGTAGCCAGAATGTACTCATTCGGGAAGATGGATCCTGTGCCATTGGAGACCTGGGCCTTGCCATGGTGCTTCCTGGCCTCGCTCAGCCCCCTGGCTGGACCCCTACTCAACCACAAGGCCCAGCTGCCATCATGGAAGTGAGTTCTCTGGATAACTGGTGAGGCCCGGGATGATGGTGGTGTTGCTGATGGCAGTGCTGCTGTTGTGTGTTAATAGTTGTAGCAATACCTGTAACATTTGAGACATTGCTGAGTCTGTGGTTGGGGGGATATTGCATGGCCCATTGCTGCAATGAGGGTGGCCACAGAGATGATTCTTGGCCCTTTGTGCCTTGCTCTCCAGGCTGGCACCCAGAGATACATGGCACCAGAGCTCTTGGACAAGACTCTGGACCTACAGGATTGGGGCATGGCCCTCCGACGAGCTGATATTTACTCTTTGGCTCTGCTTCTGTGGGAGATCCTCAGCCGCTGCCCAGATTTGAGGCCTGGTAAGGATGGGTGGTACTGTTCCCCTCCCTGGGTACCCCCCTGCCCATTCTAGGTTCACGCCAACATGACCTGGTCCCAAGAAAGCTCTGCTCTTCCCCCTCTTGACCTTTCTACATGGTAGGCACCCCTAGGGCTAACTGACACCCATCCCCTCTACCTTCCTCCAGACAGCAGACCACCACCCTTCCAACTGGCCTATGAGGCAGAACTGGGCAGTACCCCCACCTCCGATGAGCTATGGGCCTTGGCAGCGCAGGAGAGGAGGCGTCCCTACATCCCATCCACGTGGCGCTGCTTTGCCACAGTAAGAGGCCCAGGCTGTTGGGCTGGGGACCTGGGGAGTGGGGGCTGGGCATGGGCTTCAAGAATGTCTCTGCCAGGGCCAGTCTGTTTATTGCTATCTCCTCTCATCTTCCATCACTTCTTGTTCAGGCTTAGCTGGAGCTGGGCAAGCTTGCTCTCCCCCTCAGTTCATCCTCTTCCACTCTAAGTGTCACACAGTCCATTCCATCGACCTGAGACACACACCTTCCCCCTGCTCAGCCTTGCCCAGCCTGCTCTCCTCTCTACCATCAGTTAGCTCTGTTCCTTAGTCCCCTCCTCCAGGAAGCCCTCTTTGGCTTTGTTCTTGCCCTGAGTTCTGCCCCGTCCACTTTCCTGAATACAGTAAAGCCCAAAAATCAATTCAATAAGTCCCCATTCTGTCATGCATTGATAATGTTTCTGCTGTGACCCAATAAAAGGCAGTTCTGGGTATAAAGGGTGAAAGCAGTGGCCTCACAGTGAAAATTCAGGACTTTGCATCAATACTTTTTTAACAGAATGTCCCTTCTCTTGCTATCTGATCTGAACTTTCCACTGCACAAGTCAGTTAGGTTAGCTAACAGAAACCAGGCATTACTTGCAGAAGACTCTGGTTCTCTGAGTGGAAAGAGAGTAATTTCCCATTAGCATATTAAGCCGTCAACCTATATTAGCTCCTCAGAGGAAATGGTGGGCTGTATGGAAGGCCCCCAGAGAGCCTGTCTCATAGGGAACAAGACTCAGAGGGCTGGAGTTCAGCAAGAGGGAGAAGAGGGAGGCTCCAGGAAAAATCAGAAATGGAATGTTGAAAACAGGAAAGTGATGGACATTGAAGATGCCTTTTAACTCTGGGGTCCACTCAAGATCCTAGGATCGACCCTTCCCCTGTCATTCCTCCCAGGACCCTGATGGGCTGAGGGAGCTCCTAGAAGACTGTTGGGATGCAGACCCAGAAGCACGGCTGACAGCTGAGTGTGTACAGCAGCGTCTGGCTGCCCTGGCCCATCCTCAGGAGAGCCACCCCTGCCCAGAGGGCTGTCCACATGGCTGTCCATATCTCTGCCCAGAAGACTGTACTTCAACTCCTGCCCCTGCCATCCTCCCCTGTAGGCCTCAGCGGAGTGCCTGCCACTTCAGTGTTCAGCAAGGCCCTTGCTCCATGAATCCCCAACCTGCCTGTACACTTTCTCTTGTGTAAATATGCAATTTATGTGTAGTCAATGTACATGCCAACATAAATATGGCAGTTGTATAGCTGTCTTGTCTGTCTCACCACTGCCTTTCCCACCTGCCGAATCCTTGGATTCTTCCGCAGGCATCCAGTCCGTGGCAGTTCCGACCAGTGACTAAGGGTAGGTATGCACAGGAAACAGAATAAAGTCAGCTTTCCTGATGCATATCCTTGGGCCTTTCTCTATTCCTGTAATCCAGGGACCCTCTTGTCTCTCTCCTCTTCCACCAACATTTATTTTTTTTTATTTATCTTTTTTTTTTTGAGACGGAGTCTCACTCTGTCACCCAGGCTGGAGTGCAGTGGCATGATCTCGGCTCACTGCAACTTCCGCCTTCCAGGGTCAAGCAATTCTGCCTCAGCCTCCCAAGTAGCTGGGATTACAGGTGCATGCAACCACACCCGGCTAATTTTTTGCATTTTTAGTAGAGACGGGGTTTCACCATGCTGGCCAGGTTGGTCTTGAACTCCTGATCTCGTGATCCTCCTGCCTCAGCCTCCCAAAGTGCTGGGATTACAGGCGTGAGCCACCGAGCCCGGTTTATTTATTTATTTTTTGGAGACAGATTATCTGTCCAGGCTGCAGTGCAATGACACAATCACGGCTCACTGCAACCTTGTCCTCCCCGGGCTCTTGTGATCCTCCTGGCTCAGCCTCCTGAGTTGCTAGGGCCACAGGCATGCACCACTATATCCAGCTAATATTTTGTTTTTTGAAGAGATGAATTCTTGCTGTGTTGCCCAGGCTAGCCTCGAGCTCCTGATCTCAAGCAGCCCTCCTACCTCAGCCTCCCAAAGTTTTGGGATTACAGGCATGAACCACTGCGCTCGGCATTTTAAATTGTTTATTATTTTTATTTTTGAGATAAGCTCTTGTTCTGTTACCCAGGCTGTGATCATCGCTCACAGCATCCTTGACCTCCTAGGCTCAAGCAATCCTCCCACCTCAGCCTCCCAAAAAAATACAAAAATTAGCACGTCACCACACCCAGCTAATTTTTGTATTTTTTTCATAGAGACAGGGTTTTGCCATGTTGCCCAGGCTGGTCTTGAACTCCTGGGCTTAAGCGATTCACCTGCCAAGGATTCCCAAAGTGCTATGATTACAAGTATGAGCCACCACACCCAGCCTCAAAATTTATTTTTATTTATTTATTTTTTTTTGAGACGGAGTTTCGCTCTTGTTACCCAGGCTGGAGTGCAATGGCGCGATCTCGGCTCACCGCAACCTCTGCCTCCTGGGTTCAGGCAATTCTCCTGC